AAAGCGATTATTATGAAAATTTAATTATGGAAGGTACCTTCCACGATTTAATTGATCAGACCATGGAGGTATAAACAGAAGGTAGAAAATTTGAGCACATGGCAGACTTAGTTTTCGTGACCAAATACGTGTCATGGACTCCGACCACAATGAGTCGGAAGTGAAACACTTGGGCCCGGACTTGGCTACACCATGGCTACACGTAAAGCACGAGACAAGCAGCTGTAAAAGCGTATGTGTGAGCATCCTTGTTTTACCTGTTTTATTTTTCTTAATCTTCACATTCTCAATAAATAATTTGACGGATTCAATGAAGTTAGATTTGTTATACATGATATAGAAAGTGAACTAAATGTAAGATACCGGCAGTAGTCCCCGCCAGCAGTTGTTCCGGTACTATGTATTACGCATTGAAGATGGAAAAAGAATCATCACACTAATTTTGTCACAACAGTTTTGGGAACTAAAAAACGGAAAACACGATTTATTTTACAAATCAACAAAATAATAATGGAGCAAACAAACTGAAAATTCACCGCCCGATCGACAGACAACTTTAAACCTAAGCGATCGCATCTCCCGATTCAGTTCAGCATTCGCTGTGGCTTCTCTCCCCCTCATTGCCATTCAAATCAGATAATACAGATCTTCGTCGAGACATCTCGCTTGGAAAGAAAACTACATGTAGTTGACTCTGGTGGTGCGTTCAGCCACGGTTATTGGTTCAGCAGCTGAGCAAGAGAATGACCTTCCATGGAGGGCAATGTATGGTAATGAGTCTTCCAGAAAAGGAGTGTCTCCTCCCACAACGTATTAATAAATATGTAAAACATGACTTCATTTTGGCGCGGTTTGTCACGCCCTGAAACAGTGTTTCCTATTGGATTCGGGAGCATAATTTTGTACTTTATAACCAATTGCGACCACGCATATCCACACTGCATGATTATGACAGACAGATACCATGACTATTCATTATGAGTTTGTTTTGATCCATGGGACAAACGGATTTTGAGTTAGCCGACGATACGTTGCTGCTAAGTTGTTTTTGCCATTTTCTCGGTTAAACAAAACAGCGATTCACGGCAACTGCAGGCCTTTGATCTCGAGTTTTAGTGGACGCATTATACTAATTTTTCGCACAGACACTCTTCGATATGTTCCCTCTCTACCCATGCTGGGATTTTTCTATTTTCTTATTTGTTTCGAAATTACATTCTAATTTCTGAATACCGGAAAGAACCAGATCGCATTGTTTTTTCAAGATAGCTAAATTATTATTTCTTCTCCAACTATCATGTAGATATATATCTCAATTAACACGGAATGGTGGTGAGCGTCGTTCGAAAAACTGTTTTGTTGCCAATCTTCCACTAAATTTGTTCATTCATTGGTTCAATTACTTTTTTACCGAAAATGGCTTTCTGTGTTTACACAGAGATCACGTGACTATACACGTCCATACACACACTATCTTGTCGATTTCATATCCAGTGTGAAATAAGCTTTCCATCAATATATAGCTTTGTGTTGTTCAGTAAATATTTTATATGAAAATATCAGTTTAGAAAATCAGTACCAAAAACGTGTACAGCATCCTTAAGATGGGATGTCAGTTTCAGTTACAATTAATCTAAAATGGGGTATCAGATTTTATCTAGACTGGAAACTAAGAAAAGAATAAAAATGTTTTGTTCTGTTGCAGCAATGGGGCACCTTTGCCCGTGTCTGGTATCTGTTAGATGCATCGCAGCAGCCGCCGGGAAGAATAGCGGCATTAGTGTCACCGCTACTACAAGGAAAACACAAACCAATTTACCATCCACTCAGTAAGTATGATACAATTGTTCAGTTTTTGAATTGAACTCATGTAGGACTTAGAATATAATAATTGAACATCTTTTTATATTCTGTTGGATTATGTTGTTATGGGAACTATTTTTTTTGACACAGCGTCGTCCGTCGTCGTCAACTTTACAATTTCAACTTCTTCTTCAAAACCGCAAATCAGAATGTTTTCCAATTTGATATGCAAGTACCTTGGATGGTTCTTTCTCAGATTTGTTCACTTCATGTCAAGATCTCAAATTCTCTATTTTTGGTGAATATTTTTGTCATTTTTGGTACTACAGGTAGACCTCTCTCAGATTTGTTCATTTCGTGATGATATCTTCAATTATCTTATTTTGATGAATATTTTTGTCATTTTTGGTAAAAAGTGATATTTTTGAATTCTTGTTGAAAACAGCAAGTCCGATTGCTATACATACTATACATATTGTTCATTTTCTAATGATATCCTCAGTTTTTTGATTGAAATGTGCATTGCTAACAGTGGAGCTATCTCAGCCGACGGGCTGCTTGTTTCAAAAGTTCACCAGTGTACTTACAAAATGACTGTAACCATGTCTCATTTAGTTGTTGATTACTACTCAATTGATTTAAATATCCCAGAAGGCAACAGCAAATAACTGCTTGTATACTATCAGGGGATTAAAGTTCACAAAGACATCACAGACATTGTCATTGATGCTCAATAAGTTTTCTGCAATGACCTTTGATATTTCCAAAAATATTCCTATACACGAAGGGAATTATTTTTCGATTGATCAGTTTTAAAACTGGTTGCCCTCTCTTCTCTGAAGTTTTAGCGCTGACCAATGCAAACAAATTGTGATGATAGGTGTGGAGACACGTGTCAAAAAACAGATATGGTCGCAGTGTGCCCTCTAACGGGACTGATTTTGTTGGAATCCTCACTACTGCGAAAATCAACCTTCAAGAAAAAAATGAAATTATATGTGACTTGAAGCACAAACAAAAATGATTTGGCTCTTGATTTTCTTTGTAATTTCATTTATTTTGTTTATAAATTTTCATTCTCAAACTACTGATATAGTAAGATGATTTTCAAGATAATGTTTGATTTTGTGTTGCACCAATGATGCCCCAGGAAACTAGCACAGCTAGTTGCATTACAGCAAATCTGTCTTTGTCAGTGGCATGTCATATTGGCTTCAATAGAGGGCGCACTGTATGGTACTTTAAATAATTATAAAATCATTCAGTAAGATCACAAATATTTAGAATAATTTGTCACATACTCGGACAGTTATACAATGTAGACATAAACACAAACGCTTCATTTCGCAGTGCATCGTTTCCTATCCTTCACTCACTATCTGGCTTTTGTATTACATGTATTGCATACATTGATTACAGGTGATATCGGTGACCACGTAGTGATTTATAATACCAGAGAGGTTGCTTTCTCTGGTGATAAATGGAACACTAAGCTGTATCATCATCATACTGGGTAAGTAGGCATTGCTGACGAACTGGTCACGGCCATATACATGATTATAAATACTATTCTCAACTTACTCTTAACCTTTTCATCTTTCACCCCACTTTTTTCTTTTATTCTTCAATATTTCTGGAAATGAATGCTGATTGTGTAGCCGACAGAGAAAATTTTAATAAATTTTTGATTTTTACGCAAAAAAATTTGGCTATTTTTGTCCCAATCTTCTGAAGGAAACTGCAGACTGACTATACACAAGATTATTTTGTAAATTTGTGAAGAAGGAACTGGTGGTGAAAAGGTTGCTTTGATATTTTATACAAAATACAATAAGTGAATTCTTTATTTAATGGCCATTAGTGATTTTTTTTTTCATTTTTGTTGGAAAAATACTATTTTTAACTTCTTCTTGAAATATGAATTACTGATTCCTTTGATATTTTATATGTAGGTGGACTTCTATGAGATTTATATTTATTCTAAATTCCTCTACACTGAGAATGAACTTGCTAATTGCAGGTATTTTGAGTGGCCCATTTTTTACAGAAAGCAGTCTGCCATGCAAATAAAAACTGCTTTGTAATTACACAACTATCACTGGGGACCAGAAATGTAAAAAAAAAAACACCCCTAGCTTTCTGATGAGTAGATGATGATTAGTTTCGCTAAATCTAAATTTTTTTTATTTATTTCAGATACCCTTAGTAGGATTATAGCAAGAAAATAGAAAGTGCCTGTCTAAAAACTTTATAAAAATGAAAAATAGTTACTATGTTGTAACCACACACAATCTATTTTTTTTATTTATGGTTATTATGTAATTTACACGCAATTTTCATTGAAAATTTGATAGGTTTGTAAAGATTCTGCCTGTCAAATGAAATTTCATCCATGTCTAAAATGAGTCAGACAGATGGCTTGCTAAAAACCTGACCCTAAGTGCTTCAGTTTCACTGAAGCTAAAGGTTTTCATTTATTTCAGATAACCTAGGGGGTTCAGTTCCACTAAAGCTAAAGGTTTTCGTTTATTTCAGATAACCTAGGGGTTCAGTTCAACTAAAGCTAAAGGTTCTCGTTTATTTCAGATACCCTAAGGGGTTCAGTTCCACTAAAGCCAAAGATGTTCATCTGCTGGACCCTACTAAAGTGAGTATATGTTACAAAGATGCTGCAGAATATGCACAAATACTGAGAACATAGTTTGCAAAATTCTTGTAAAAAAACTGCATTATAACTCTTCCTGATCAAACCAATTGGTGTGTGATATTCAGGCCTACTCACGTTAGTGCAGATTAATGAAACTTTTTTGAGTGTAAATGTTTGATTCCCTGCACAGTCCAGAAACAGGGATTATAATGTCACCTGTGTGTCACACCATTCGTTTGTCCATTCGTACCTGTGTTTCAGACATGTCTGTACCAATGACATTGAAACTTGACATGTCATCTACATGGCGGCGGTCAAATGGTGGCCATTCATTGCATAAAATGTCATCAAAACAGAGTGTTTCTGCCATTTTGAAAATGGATTTTGGTCGTGTAGGAATGGAATGTTCAAATTTAGTACATACATTAGACACTATAAGCCCTTGACACACACTGTTATAAAGTAATACATTCCATTCCCATACTGGTCTATAAAGGGATAGTTTTAGAAACCGATATGGAAACAATTATTTTAAATTTGCTACCCATACTGCATATTGATTGGTTGAAATAATGCTTGCTGACTGATTTTACTTAATTAGCACTCTTTTTAAAGTCGCTGAATTTCTCCCGTTAGGTCGTGCACAAAGCCATATACGGAATGTTACCCAAGGTGCTACTAAGGCGAACAATGATGGAAAGATTACACCTCTACCCTGACAACGTAAGTACAGAATCAAGAGTGGATTAATATAAGGGCAATGTAACCTATACTATGTTGCTAAGATATAAGTGTTCTAGTCTGATACATATATAATACCAGAGGTACATTACTTGGGGTTTGCAACTACGGTGACATGATACCAAGATCCTGTTTCAATCTTGCTCTCGCATAAGCGTTCCAACTCAGAAAAATACGAATGCGCATGCCTGAGGTAACTAGGATACTGGGATGTCCTGGTGGATCAAAATAGCAGCTCACATTATGACTGATTACGATAACTATATTTTCTGTACATTTCCGATGAGTTTTTTCACTATGAATGTGGTAATACATGTTTTATTGTTTTATTACAAACCGTCTATGTCATGTCAGAAGGTCGTAGCATCAGTCTCAATATCTACGAGATGAGACTTGAATGGGATCTTGGCATGATGTCACCATACAGTATGTGCATTGCAAACCCCAAGTAATGTACCTCTGATAATACACATATTAATATTGAGGAGTGCAGCTTTCTTATTCAATATCTAAACTTATGGGAATCAGAAATAAAAAATAGTGAAGTTCATTGGAGTGGACACGGATTATTAGTACCTGTTGATTGTTTTCAAGGGAAGGAAGGATTGTGTATTGGTGTCGAGAAATGAGACAATTAATGTAGATGATTGTGATGGGAGTTGTGAAAGATGGAGGGTGATGCCAGATTTTGGTAGTGGAGGATCCATGAACAC